AGAAATCCCCAAATCGATTTCTAGATATTCATATCTACTTCCGCAAATCAACGGTGGAATCAAGCTCTCAATTCAAGAACAAGCTTCGGCCCTTGGATTATATCTAGGAGAAGAATCAGAGGAATCAACAAAGATTGTAACCCATTTTCGTTTTGATTAAAATATAATTATTTGTTCCTATTTTTTCTTGTCTTGTAATTTATTTTGCAGACATTTAAATTTGAGGTTAACAGTAAGACCATATATATATGGCCAATTTTGTTTTTTAAGATTTTGTTCTAATTTTAACATGGGCAAATGGCAAATAGGCCCACAAGGACACTTAATTAAAAGAGGGACATACAACTTATTTGTTTTTCAAATAAATCCAGCCCATTCAAACTTATTTGCAAATAAGGAAAATCCCTTTATATATACCAAAATTACCCCCAATTCATTGAAACCCAATTCAACTCCAATTTCATGATTTACACCCCAATTTAGCCCAATTTCATCAATTAACCAATTTTAACCCTAATTTCAATTTTGATCCCAATTTTGACCAGCCACCACCGGAGTCCGCCGACCGCCGCCGTTGACCGGCGTTGACTTTTTTTTTTTTTTTTTATAATTATGTTTTTTCTTAAAAAAAATATTTTAATTAATATTACTGTCTTGGCTGCTAAATTACTGCCTCCGCAGTTATTTAACTGTCGGAGAAAGCAATTTAAAGCAATTTAACTGTTAATTGATTTTTTTTTTCTTTAAATTTTTTTTAATTAATATTACTGTTTTCATTGCTTAATTACTGTCTCCAATAGTTATTTAACTGTCGGAGTAATTTAACTGCGAATTGACTTTTTTTATTCTTAAAAAAAATATTTTTAATTAATATTACTATATTCGTTGCTAAATTAATGTCTCCTGTAGTTATTTAACTGTCGGAGACAGTAATTTAAATGTTAATTGACGTTTTTTTTTTCTTAAAAAAATTATTTTAATTAATATTACTGCCTTGGGTGCTAAATTACTGTCTCCAACAGTAATTTAACTGTCTTAGATAATAATATAAACAATATTACTATTCGGGAAAATAATATTCATAATATTACTGTCCGAAACAGTAATATTACTGTATGAGACAGTAATTTAGTAGCCAAGACAGTAATATTAATTAAAAAAAAAATTCTAAGAAAAAAAATTCCAAAAAAAAAATAAAATAAAGTCAACGCCGGAGACCGGCGGTCAACGGTGGTTGACCGGTCGGAAAACAAATTCAGGAAAAAAAGTTAAAAAAAAAAAAAATCAACGACGGAATCTTACCGGAAAAAAAAAACATTTCAGAAACAAAATTATTTTCTGAAAAAAAAATTGGGGGTTAATGTGATATATTTGTTTAAATTCGGGGTCAATGTGTAATATTAAGGAAGTTAGAGCATAATGGGTGGAATTGATAAAAATTATATTATGGAGGGCATTTTCGACTAAAGACATGGGGATGTGTTTAATTGAGAGACTGTTCTTTTTTTTTGATAAAAATGCATTTAAGTCCCATGTGATGGGCCTTTTTGTCATTCGCCCTTTGAACATTGACCGAATATTGAGTAAATTACATGTCCTCCCGTGAATTTAGCATTTTTAATTACATATAGACCCGACCCCTCATATTTAAATTATTATAAAGACCTCCTTTATTATTAAAAATTTAGTTGATATTTAATGTGAAATATGAACTAAAATTTAATTCAAATTTATTGAATCATATGTTTCTGTTAGGGGTGAAAGTCGGATGGATCGGATCGGAATTAGCCTTTTCGGAAAATTTCCAAAAAAAATCGGAAGTACAAAATCAATTCCAATTCCAATTCCAAAAATTTCGGAATCTAAAAATTCATTCCAATTCCAAAAGGCCCGGAAATTTCGGAATTTCGGAAAAAAATCGGAAATCACATAAGCTTTAAAATTTCAAAACTTAGCCGAAAATTTCTATAATGTTCATAATTTTTCAAAAATAAGAAAATTCACGTCGATAAAAGTAAAACTAATAACTACTAAAATTCAGTTCAAAAAAATAAATAAAAATAAACACAACGTAATATCCAATAAAACTTCAAATAACAATTCATTATGTCAAAATCCAAAAACAAAACTTATAGGTGTATTTTTCGGAAAATAAGTATTATATAATATATATTATTTATAGGTGTATTTTTCGGAAAAAATCGGATTTTTTCGGAATTAATTTCGGAATTAAATCGGATCGGAAATCGGAAATTCCAAATTTATTTTATATAATTCCAATTCCAATCCAAAAAAATCGGAAAAATTCGGAAATCGGAATTTCGGAAGTCGGAATGAAAAAAGTTGTTCCAAAATTGGAACTTTTCGGATCGGAATCGGCGAAAATTGGAAATTCCGTTCCAACTTGCACCCCTAGTTTCTGTTTATTAAAAATATTTAAAAGAAAAAAAACATGGGAAAGTAATTTTATGATTTTGTAAACGAAATAAGACTTATTAATTTATATTGAAAAATTAGTATTGAAAAATACTAAAAAAATAATAATTTCAGTATTTCACATACAAGAGAATAAAATTATTTTACAGTGTTATCAATTTTCTTATGCATGCTTTTTTTTTTTTCTTGTAAGAAATCTTTTGTAATAAAAATAAAAATTATTATGTGAGTTCAAAATCAAATTTTAAGTTAAAATTAAACTTGAAGCAAGGGAGGTCTCTGTAATGAGTTCTTATCTTTTTCCTTGTAAAAGATATTTTGTATAAAAAAATTAAGTAAATTACACCCACACCCCTGAGGTATACTTAAATAATTTTAAGGTCCTTATGGTATTGATAATTACACCCACCCCCTGAAACGTAGTTTGAAACTCTAACGTGATAGTGCATTGGATACAATATTCCGATAGGGTTATAATGGACTATTACTTTTAGCTAGTGGTGGAGATAACATAGAGTTATGGGGAATTTTGGGGTGACATGGCTCCCCCCAATATTTCTTAAATCACCCATAATCCTTTGTTGTCTCCACCACTTCCTGAAACCAATAGTCCGTTAGAACTCTATCGTAATAGCGTATCTAATGCATTACCCCATTAGAGTTTATAACAACGTTTTAAGGGGGTGGGTGTAATTATCGATACCAGGGACCTTAATGTTATTTAAGCATACCTAAAGGGTGTGGTATAATTTACCCAAAAAATTATGTAATGAGTTTAAATCAATTTTTTAGATAAATTTAAAACTTGAAGGGCAGTCTTGTAATGTTTTAAAATACAAGGGACATATATGTAATTATACGTAACCACAAAGAAGGACAATGTAGTTAATTTCTCGAAATTTGATTAGGGCTAAAAATTAAACTTCAAAAGGGACAACACTAACGGGTTAGTTGTTCCTTGTTAGCGTAATTTTTTAAAGGGCGAATTTACAGTTTACCCCTTCTACTCAATTTTGCCTCGATTTATTCCTTTGCATTTGTAAAATTGTCATAATGTGACACTCGATGTGAGTTTTCAATTTTTTGACCGTGACAGTGTTTGGCCAATAACAAAAAATTCCACCCAAAGTATCATTCCGGTGATAAATATTGGGTGAATCTTCTGCTGACACATGTAATATTTAATTATTTATTATATATTCCACCACTAGAGTTAATCCGTAAGGGTCTTTGAAAAATACAAAAATAGTACACTCCACGTCTTCTTTCTCTCTCATCCAAAAACACATCTCTCTCCAAAGTTGACCCACATTCTTTTTTTTTTGTTTCTGCAACTCTTGAATTATAGTTCACAAAATTTTCATTCAGACATTCAATTTACAGTAGAATCTCGATAAATTTATAATCGGTAAATTAATAACATCGATTAAATAATAGTTTATCTCGGTCCTGACATGGTGAAAACGTGTTAAATTATTAACTCGATAATTTAATAAATCGCTAAATTAATAGAATTTCCCTGATCCCGAATGAATTAATTCATAGAGGTTTAACTGTACAACAAAATGAACAACAAAAAAATTGACAGTTCACAAAAGTATAAAACCATAAAAAAGACCCATTCCATGTAAAAACAAATTCAAAAACCCAAAATAAACAAATTCAAAAACCCAAAATAGTGTGATCTTTAGACAATTTTTTTATCAAAGTACTTCGCCTTTTTCTTGTAAAAAATCAATCAAAGCTAACATGTTAACATCTCCAAATCAAGATATATAGTTCAAACCAATTGGATTTATTTTATTTAATTTTTTGTTTACCAACGACGACTTTGCGGTGACATAATGCACCGAGTAAGGTTTACTTTCGTGCAATAGCCTACAAACCCTCACGAAAAACGTAATTAAGCAAGGGCGCAACGAACTCGTCCTAGAAAGTGTTTTACTGGAAAATTGAAACGTGGGTAAGGTAGTTCGAGCTCTCCGATCCTATACGCCACCAACAAATCGAGGTTCTTGATTGATACCGTAACAATTTGTATGATGATATGCCTCTCAAATTAGTCAACATACATATATCAAACTAAGTTCTTAATCAAGATAAATTTAATGGATAGAGACCTCCAAAATACTCTACAAGACAAAATTAAAAGAGCTGTGGGCCCCACGCTATAACTAACTAATTCTACTTAGACATGTTTCTCATCAAGACTAAATTTCAACTCTTCAATAGTTCTTGTTTCCAGCTTATAGGAAATGGGCTCAAATTATAACAGTTTGAAGCTTCTAATCATGAGATCTAGGGTTTTCAAGAACCGATACCTATATATATATATATATATATATATATATATATATATATATATATATATATATCAAGAAATTAAGTTGAAAAACCGGACTAATAATAGATTTTATTAATTTAAAAGAAAGTTTGAAAACCACGAAGATTTACTCCCATGAACATCACAAAAAAAAAATAATAATAATAATAAAAAAAAAAAAAAAATAATAATAATAATAAAAAAAAAAAAAAAACAATTGCTAGTTGAAATCTGATAGAAGCTAATCCAGCAAATCAAATCCTAAATCCTCAAAAACAACAATATCTTCCTCCTCACTTGTATTTATCGTTCTTTGTTTAGTCGACAAATTTATCGTTTTATTCGACTCGTTGAGTGCTTTCGCAGGTGAAGAACCCTCTTCGCCGCTGCAATTCATCTTCTCGAGTGATTCAATTACTTTTTCCAATGGAAAATTGAGCGGAATCGACGGGCCCAGCATCTTGAATGCAGCTTGATCGTACGCTAAGGCCGCCTCTTCCTCCGTGTTGAATTTTCCGAGCCAAACGCGGATCCTGCACCTAGTTGAATCTCGTATTTCCGCTGCGTATTTTCCACACGGCATTTTTCGGACTCCGATCAACGTTCTTCTAGAAGCTTCTTCTCCGGAGAAATCGGCCGATGATAAAGAAGATTTGATTTCTTCGTTTTTTGCAGTACTATTTGAACCGGAAGAGTACTCCATTTAGTTTCTTGATTAATTAAGATTTGGAGAATGAGAGAAATATTACGTAACAGAAAACCCTTATTGTGTTTATGAGGTTGATTTACACGGAATACACAAATATTGCAAGGTAATAGAGTTTAACTAGGTAACTAAATCTTAACTAATGTAGGTAACTGAATCATGATAGAATCCTAATATTACAAGAGTTCTTATAATATATAAATACTCTAATGGGTTTCATTATAATCAATTTATTTACCAAAAATATTTGGAAGGTATTTGAATTTTATTTTAATTTTCATATAAAAGTTTAAAATCCTGACGTCATAACTAATTACCATTTTTATAAAATTGCATTTTTTTCGGTGCGATGCACGGGATAGAATTTCAAAGAGAAAATAATTATTAGTTTAATAAATGACAATAATAATAATTATAATAAAATTTATTAGTTGGTAAAAATATTAATATTTATAACAAATTTAATAATACAAATTGATTTTGAAAAAGAAATATATAAACTTAATTATCTTAATATGAAATTAATCATTACATAAATGAAGAAAAGACGCATTAGAGAAAATAGACTGGATTATAGAAAATCAAAATAATAATAACAGTTAAAAAGAAATAGAGATAGTGGATTATGATTGTGCTAGTCCAGATTTGATGTGGAAGTAATTAGAAAAAAAAAAAAGACTGATTATATATAGGGCAAATGGCAAAAAGGCCCATCACATGGGACTTAAATGCATTATAGTCCACAAAAAAATCAGTCTCTCAATTAAGCTCATCCCCATGTCTTTAGTCTAAAATACCCTCAATAATATAATTCTTATCAATTCCACCCATTATGTTCTAACTTCTTTAATATTAAACATTGACCCCGGATTTAAACAAATATATCACATTAACCCCCAAAAAATTTTTTTTTTAAGAAAATAATTTTTTTTCTGAACTGTTTTTTTTCCGGCCAGATTCCGGCGTTGACCGCCGGAGACCGCCGGTCTCCGGCGTTGACTTTTTTTTTTTTTTTTGAAATTTTTTTTCCTGATTTTTTTTTCCGGCCGGTCAACCACCGTTGACCGCCGGATCTCCGGCGTTGACTAATAATATTTTTTTTTTTTGTATTGAATAGGTTTTTCTCAAAAAAAAAATATTTTAAATAAAACAACTGCCTGGACTAA